CATGGGTAGCAAGGAATGGTATAACATACTGAACTGTTAGGAATTTTCCTGTTCGAAAATAGTTAAATATAAATTTTGAAAAAAAGCATCAGTTTTTGAGATAGCTAGAAATGGAATTTTTTGCAATTTCCATTAAATCATCTTTTATAGAATTTCCCGGGAATGCGACCAAATGGTCCAATGCGATATGGTTCTCAAATGTACATGGAGTCTCCAACGGGCACTCCTTTCCCTCCAGTATGTTTTTCATTTTTATTAGATTATTCGGATTCTTATATGCTCATGTCTGCCTGAAGATGTATAATGACACATGGTTGCATTTAAGCGTATGCGATTATATGCTTATATGAATTGTTTCATATACTGTTGCTTCATAAGAACTTTCCTAAATACGATTTCTGGTTTGAGGCAAAAAGAAAATCACAGTAATATGTCACAATAATAATAATGCTGATTTTTCAAGCAGTCATACTTTTTTGCAATTTGTTTATGTCATATTTGAGGTTTTATTGACTTATTAGAAGTAGTTGCATTAAAGTCTTTTTGAAACCTCTTTAGCAGTTATGTAATGTCAGTTACATTCTGTAATTTAAGAATGCGATGATGCCAAATGGTGCGATATGCTCATCAACTCCTTCGATGTTGTCATCACCAGGACCACAAGGACCGATGCCAACAGGACCTGACGGACAGGCCGATCCACGGGGTTATATGATGATGTCGACTGCCTCGAATATACCGGTATTTTATTTTTATTTAAGTTAAATATTCTTTTTTTAAGAATATCGATAATATTAACTAAATTTATTTTTCGGATACTTATTTTACGTAATTTTATGTATCTCTGAGGTTCCTCTTTTAATGAAAAAATATCTATTATATTGTTAGAAATATTTAATTGCAGTATGTGATGCATGGTTCTGAGGGCAGTATGACCCCTGGAGCAGGTGGTAGAGGTTCAGCTGGACCTCCAGGATCTGGACCCGAGCCACAGGTTGGTTCATTATTGAACGGTGATGAAATGAAACAGTCACCTGCTTCTACACATGGTGGACTGAACGGTGGTACACCGAGCACAGCAGGTGGGCCAGGTTTGTAATTTTTGAATCTCCCTTTTATATCCCATTTTTTACTTCATTTTTGTGTGTTTTGACCATGTGCTTTCAAATTCATAGGAGGGGAGCTGTTTATTTTTGTTACAGGCCCCATGGCATCTGTTTCAATTTACAACCCTGCACTCGGTATTAACAAAGTGAAAACGGTCCAGTTGCCGCGATTTCCTGATGGCGGTACGACTGCTCGCAGGACCTGATTCTCCATCTCCCTCTTTTGAGGCGTAGATTCTGTTAACCACCAATTCTCTTTTATGTCACCCATTCCACCTGCTGGTGAGGCTGTGGGTAGTTTTAATTTCCTTGTCTTCACCTATTAACACATGGTAACTTAAAAACATGTCTCATGCTTTGAAACTGTCCAGCTGTTGTTATTTGCGTGAGTAATCCATATTGGATTTCATACTAACTTTTTTGTAAAATACAGGCAGTCAGGCACCGGTAGGTGGTCCAGGTTCAGTAGCAGGGGCCGGAGTTGGTGGTCCTGGTTCAGTACATTCACAATCTGGTGCACCTCCAAATGCTGTATCTGGTGGCAGTCAAGGTAATGGACCAGGAAATAGTTCAAACACCAATTCAAGTTCTGGAGGACAAGTAAATGTTAGTTCGCATGCATATATAATTCCGTTACTTTGACTTCCTTTAACTGTTAATTTTTACCTGTTGGGATAATTGTGCTACGATTTTCGGAAATTTGTGATCGTCAAGTACGAAGGGGAATTTCTCAATTTTCCTGAAATATAATGATACGCTTTCATTTCACTTATGAAAGACTGCCTCATTCATTTTTGAAGTATGAGTTATCAGCAAACATGTAAACTATTGAAACAATTATAAACTGTTTAAAAATTCAACCACTATTTCGAACTATTTTTTTGTATCAAATGAAAAACGTTTTTGATTAAGTGATTTTGTTGAATGATAGATACTGCAGTAGAAATATTTTTATATTTTGCGTTTTCTTTACTGTGTTTTAAATATATATAATCATGTTTACAGGAGGAAGCAAGTGAAATATCGAAAATCAAGCAAAGTTTGTTCGATGATTTAAAACATTTTGGTGCAAAGGAAGATAACAATGCTGAAAGTTATTTTTCATAATGATATGATTTTCGAAATGAATTATTTATACAACGGATCTTTCACAATCTAAAGTTCAGTGCGCTTGTCCGGTTGGATCCTGATAAGAACCACCGGGTTTGCTGCTATTCGTGTTTCTTTTTCAAAATGATCTGATTAATTGGATTGCTCTCTGTAGGCAATCTTTCTTCAGTGGTATAAAAAAGAAAATTTTGTTGTGAACTACCAGAATATTCAGCTTTACATTGACTAGTCCTATAGATTCAATGATCTGGTGCAGAGAGCGTTTTTAAATTTACGGCAAATCTTTTGTCTTAGATTTCCTTGTGTTATCTCTTTGTTTTATATATTTCGCTTTCTCTGCAGCATATTCTGGTTTTCGCTTCACTTGAAAAGCGAAAGCAGCGACATGTTAGGTGCTCGAAAAAACTTCGAAGACGTAATTTTGCGTCCATGTGACTGTTCTTTTGTTTTTTTAGATGTGTGATTTTTTTTAACTTTTTTGCATTTTCATGTCCATCCACCAAAAATTTAGTTGCTATTGTTTTTTTTTGTCGCATTATCTTAATCCAGTGATTGCGGCATATTTTGAACTCAGTGGCGAGTTGGTGATACCTGGCTTGGGTAATATATATCAGTCCTATTCCGTAGCAAATTAGAAATAAATTCTTACACGCTTTCCTCATTTCTAAAATGTTACTTGTCTCTTCTCAGTTTAATTATCCTTTTCTTTATATTTCCTTGCTCTTTATCTTCATGTTATTTATTTATCTTCTTACTAAGGCTTGGTGGTTTTACTATACTGATGAAGATGTGCAGGAAACTCATTATTTCCTCGTGATGTAACTTCTAGAAATTTGTTTTAAGTTCCTTAATTTTTGGTACCTCAGGACTAACGAAATTGCATACCCAGCTAGGAAATAAATCTCATTTTCTGCATATCTCTGCGATTTTCTTACTATTTATTCTTTAGGTACAGGCGAGTAATTTATTTCCATATCTTTATTCGACCCTGTCTCTTTTTGTAAAATTTGATTTTTTAGTCTTGAAATTTAATTAATCATAGAGGTAAGTATTTCAGTAGATTTGAAGAACTGTATGATGTGGAAGGCGGCGTTAATGATATTTAATTAATTGATTTTAAGCCATTTCGCATTTTGGCATATTTCATTCTGCTAAAAAATGAATTTCTTTTATCCGAGTAGTGATAAAATCACCGAGGAAAAGACGTATAATTAGATAAAATGCTACTGGTGAAGTATAACATCTGAAACGATTCACATGTAGAAAAAAGTTTGAAGTTTTTCGAATTACCCCTCTCTGAAATGTCTTCAGTATTGTATGTAAATTTGTTGAGTGTTATCTTTTTTTTTCGATTTTTCAAATTTCATGTTTTCTTTTGTTTTGTGATGTGCAGTAAACATGCCCGATTAATCAATCGCCATATAATGTTTGACTAACGGATCAGTTTTTGTCGTTGTTCTGTCATCTCTGAACATTGTGAATAATGCTTTCATTACACAGATCTTGTCTCTTTCAAACCTAACTATTTATTCTTTAAGTATTTTTTTTAGTAAAATGGCAGATGTAAAGGACTTTTTATCCTTCCATGAATTATTTGTTTTGAAGCTGATATCAGACCTTGATAGAGATGTATGAAGGTTGGAAGGATTATTTATTGTAGCATTATGTTAGAAATGTGTTAGAAAAAAGATTAGATCTCTTCTTTTTTTCTTTCTGAGGACATTTAAGATGCAAAGTTAGTGTAATAAGCTTGAAACCTCTCGAGCTACGTCATTTGTGTAGGTCGTTTTAATAGCAGATGTGATTTCAGAGCAGCTCGGTAATAGTTTAAGTTAGACGAGAAAGAAAATGAGATATGAGATGGGAAAATAATATCTTAACGGCACGGAGATTTACATATGATTATCACCCTTACACAACTATTATGCTTTGTATGCTTTTTCGCCTTTTTAAATCAGTTTTATGCAATGAAAAGGCGTCTTCTCTGTGCTTCCCGTAAAAGAAATGGTTTTTGATGCATTCTTTGTATTCATAATATCTATAAAAATGCCCGCATCATCAATTTTTCAATGGTTATTTAAGTCTTTTCGATGTCTCTTGAACATCTGTCTCCGAATTCTTTTTTTTTTATAAAATCTATTACATGCATTCACTAATGTATTTTACTGTTTTTTTTTTCCAATAACATAAACAACAGGCAATTATTTGTCACACTTGCATAACAGACAGTTTTTCTGGTAGTTTATAAAAAGTTGGACAGTTTTCGATTATTGTGGAATAGCAAGGCGTTTTTGTAGTGCTATGTAATCACAGGTTTGGCAAATTTGAAGTTATGCAAAGTTATTGCATAAACCATTTAGATCAACGATATTAATAGAGTGTTGTTGCTATAGAGCTAAGTTCTATTTATTCGAGCTCTCGGTCCTATTTACTCCAGAGTTCTCGTAAGCGATTGGTGGCTGTTAGTGTGATATCTGTACATATTTAAGCCTGTTTTCGTTATTGCCTTACAGAAAGTGGAAACTACGAGAGAAGTACTGTCGATAACATTTATGTAGATTCTTCCGTTGAAAGAACTTTCTTCGCGGATTTACGCTTACAAAAATTCATCTTAGCTATCAAGTCGGTTACATATTAAATATCACAATCTGATCACTTGAGATATAAAACTTTCATAACAGCTCGTTTGTATCACGACATAAGGTCAGGAGGTTTGGTGATGTGTAGCGAATAATTTGTTCTGTGACTTTTATTTGTTGGCTGCATTTTCTTTTTACGTCTGTTTTTTTTTTCTTCTTATGTTTTTACTTATTAAATTCTTGAATAATTAACGTTTTAGTACTATTTGAATATGTTAATGGAGAAATGAATTTAATTTTCGCACAAATTTTAGTTTTCCTTCAAACATTTTTTATCTTTTGATTGTTTCTCTTTAGATATCTTTTTTCTCCAGAAGAGGACTTCATGCTAAATGTGCCTTTACGCGTTTATGCATCAAAAAAGATCCAAATTTCCTCATATATCTTTGAAACATATGTCTATTGATTGGAACAATAAGTTGATGTTTTCGTATGAAATTTTAAGGATGTTAGCAAGACGTAGCATTCACAGATTATCGGACATTCTACGGCGATGTTACGCTGCAGCAGAGACCGCACATAATGCGACAAAAGAATCAGTAAATGCTGAGGAATTACGATTGACTTTTGCGTCACCTGTTGAGGTATAATGGTGCTTCAATTTGAACGGTATTAGATGATATTACTACTCTCTCTCCCCAAAACTCTCTTCATCCTTGTTTTTTCTCTTCAAGCAAAAAGCCAATCTGCAATCTGGTAGCACTTTATGTATTAACATTCTTGCTGCTGGATAAAGAATTTCGCCTTAACATATGTCTTCAATCATAGCAACATGGAGTTGGATTTGAAAACTGAGTTTCAGTCAGAGCTATTACCGTTGGAAGCTAAGTATAACTTTGGAAAGTTTCAGATTTAGCTGTGAATGTATGATCTTGTAAAAGAGTAAGAATTACTATTGAGATTGAATGAAGTTTAATATGCAAAAATATCATTATGCAGTTTTCTTTAATAATACTGTTGCAGGTTTTCTTTAATAATACTGTAGTAAAACAAGTCGATATTTCTACACTGAATGGCTCAATTGGTATTCTGCCAAAGCATGTACCCGTATTGGGAATGCTGAAGCCTGGTGTTGTTCGAGTTGTGGACAAAGATGGTAAATTATGCAATACAAGTGAATACACCTATATTGCAAATTCTCTATGCTTAAGAGCTGATTTTGTTAGAATTATTCATTTTTCAGATAAAAGTATTCAATATTTTGCCTCATCTGGCACTCTTTCGATGAATCCAGATGGTTCTTGTCAGGTTCTGGCAGAAGAAGCAGTCAGACTTGAGGATATCGATTTAGCGGTATAGCCTTGCAGATTTCGGCTAGCTTTTTTAATTACAAGTTGACTGACGACCATTATTCAGAACTATACTTTTTTTATTATGCTCTGTTTCAATGGAGAGAGTATATACTTACAGAAGGCTGAAGAAGAATTGAGCGCGGCTCAGCGACGTGTCCAAGAGACGATGGAGAATGATGCACGAGCTGTGGTACAAATTGAAATAGAGACATACGAAGCATTGGTAAAAGCTGTCCAAAATATCGAGAAATGATTGAACAGTTACTTCGCATTTTAATGTTCAAGTACTACTCTGGTGCTTTTTCTTTGCTCCATTGGATAAAGAAAACTAACCAAATATTTTTATGCATAGATAATATTTATTTTTACTAAGATCCACAAATAACATCCAAATTGAAATATGGGATAACTTCATATGAGTTTTTGTCTCGTTGATTCTCTTGGTTTTTAAAATCCTCTTTTTTTTCCAAGTTTCTGATCGATTTCTCACTATCGTGAAGCCTGCCATTTGATGCTATTGATTAACGATTATCCAATTTTTACTGTTAATTTATTACGTCCATAGTTCTGTCTTTTTTTTTGATCCTTCCATTTGAAGTTATCATCCGGTCGTTGGACATTAATGTGATAGTGAAGTAGGTTCATAGATTTGATAGATATCCATTCAGATCAGCTTTGGCTCATTTACTATATGATCAACTATCATATGTGATCAGAATAAAAGTAATGCCCGAACCTTGATACATGAATGCTGGTGGCAAAAATGTTGCTTATGTAGTATATATCCTAGGCAGATCACTAACATCGTTTGTATCTTTCATGTTATTCGAGTCACAGTTGTGGCTGAAGAAGCTTCCATTGATGATGGTCGGTCTGCCAATAAATTTATTATAGGAGAGAACAATAAAATTAACCAAAATACAGTAGTTCTGAATGACGTACAACTGCATGTGAGAACAGCTAAAATGACTTTGCACCATGATTTAAAATAGACTATTGTGAATGTCATTAGGAAATCAGTGAGCACAAATATTTAAATCCCTTACCTAAACTGGCAGTGAACCAATAAATTCTCATTCCGCATAATCGAGTTAATTTTGGGGAATTTGTTCCAACTCCTTTGTTTATTTCTGCTTTAACTGTTCCTTCGAAAATTTTTGCTTATTGATGAAACGTGACTACAATAATCTTGTACAATTTCCCTCAACTTCTGGTATGATACACAGTTTTTTATGTCAACTGCATAATGGCCAGCTTATGTCCAAGAAAAAGGCATGCTATTATTGCTATGCTTAACATTTAACATTACTGTGTCTTTAACAACTTCATGAAGAAACTTATTTATGAATTTTAAAGCATGAAAGATTCTTTTGAAATAACAAAACGTAATATTTCATTTTCATATCTTCAAAAAATATATTTACGCCTGTTTCATGCTTTAATATTGCACACCAAGCTTATCCTTTACCTCTCAAATCATTTCAGTTGAAATTTCGTAACATTTTATTTCTCAATAAAATATTTCAAAAAATTTGGGGAAATAATATAGTAATGTACAACGAGAGAGATAAAATGTTTGCGAGAATATTCATTGTTTTAGCTCCATTCAGAAAGCAATAGAGAAGGGAATTTTTGTAAAAATTATTAAATGTTTGAAATGAATTGAATGTTAGAGTGGAAATGATTTCATAATGCAATACACGTTACAGACCACCCTCACATTCTCTATCGCATTTCCTTTTTCCCTTTCCTAAATCCCATTAGAAATCAATCAGTTTTGATTCATGTTGCAACATTCCAGTTTCTTTATCATCAAAAACAAGTTCACAAAATGTTACATTAATTCCTGCATTACATCTGCTTTGGTTTGTGTCGGATGCCTTCAGGTACTGATTAATTTTGCAAATCAATCACATAAAAGTCCTTTTTCAAGTACATTTTAAAACATTTCCATCAAACACATCATTTAAATAAAAATTAATACGGATTGAAATATTTTGCTCTTCTGTTCCCTTTCACATTGCATGAACTTTTACAATATTAAAATAAAATGTTACTATATGAATGTAAATAGTTTGACGTGAAAAAAAAATTGATGATATATACCATTAGTTAATTATTTTCTGCAAAAGAAGAATGATCTACAAATCTCGAGTTTTTTTTTTTTTAAATTGACGTTGATCGTCAAATAAATATCCAAGTCAAGTAAATATTTGAACAAATAAATATTTATAAAAAAATACATATCAAATATTTCAAATAAATATTTGAACTAACAAGATTATCAATCAATAATTCTCGTTTAGTTTGCAATCTCTTTGCAAAATTTTATCTTTTATCTTGTGCATTTCTTATTTTTTATGCTCAAAAAACTTTGAACTTAGAATAACAGCTATATTTAAAAAAAAAAAACTGCCTAATTCAAGTACAGTAATAAAACAGAGTTTATTGCACACATTCAGTGAATTTAACTCTTAAAACAACTAATTAATCATATATTTTATATAGTGACAAAAATTAAAAAAAAAAACAAAAATTCAACCTTTTCGTGTACTATAAAAAACATTTCGAGTAATGTAAAAAGTATTACGGTAATTAACTGTTTTTCTCCTTTCTTTCTTCTTATCTCTCCAAACGCTCAACAATTAATACTAATAGCTCTAATGATATTCTAAACAGAGTAAATACAAATAATGATCCGGAAATGGCAATCATAACCTGAATTTTCGAGAGTGAAAAATTAATGAAATAGACAGAAGCGTTCATTTAATTAGTTGTGGTTGTAATTATAAAAAACACTTCCTTAAAGTTCCAACTGTGACAAGAAAACGTTATTTTTTATTGATGAAATGTAAATTTATTCTAGCAATATCCGTCATATCTGTCGGACGAAAAATGATTGAAAATAGTTTTCACTTCCGGCTGATACGATACAATCAATATATGAATGACAAATGTTTTACTCTCTCACTTATCTCCAAATTTTTTTCATTTTCATTCCGCTTACACTAACAAAA